TTTAACCCTAGCTACTAAGTCCCATGAACCTTTAAGCACTGCCAGGGCTTCATGGAACTGAAGACGCCGATGCAGAATTTCCTGAGCGGCCTCTCGTGGGCCGCGGGCTTCATGCTCTCCCTGGCGGCCATGCAGACAGGGGCGCTTTCAGTGGTCCAGAAGTCCTGTGACTACGAGGCACAGACAGTCCGGGAGGATAGCAGTGAAGAGGTCACCCGGCATCGCCTCGATTTCGCAACCCGAAACGCTTGAACCCGAAACCCTAGACCCAATCTCCCTGTGAGGCAGTTGTGTGGCTCGTGGCGGCCTCCCCTACTGCCCTCGCGCTGGCGGCCACAGTGCGGCTCATGCAACTCCTGGCCAAGAAGCAGCTGTGCCACGCGAGCTTAGGTTTGGGCTTCGTGGCGGTGGACCAGCCGCAGGACGCCAGCGACTTCTTCCTCGTTGCCGCCTTGTTAGCCTACTTCCTCCTCATTGTCTGCACGGCGAGCATCGATATCACTACGCTGCTGGTGGTGCTGACGGTGCTTAGCGGCTTGACGTGGACTGTCTTGAAGGCCGTGAGCTCGGCGCGCGACACAGAGAAAGGCCTCAAGTTCGTGGAGGTCAGTTGCGATCACCTCGCCGAGACATCTGAGAAGCCCAAGATGGCCGCGGTTACCTGGGCCGCACTACGAGAGGCTCACGCTGGCAAGCTGGAGGACCCCGTTCCTACACCCTAAACCCCAAAGGCCCTAAGCCCTACTGGTGCGGACTAGCGAATGCAGCGAATGCTTTGCCATGAGACTGCAGGACCTCCAGGAGCTCTTCAGCTCGAGCTCCGGTCCTCCACTTTCCTCTCGAGAGCCCCCAGCCCGGTTTAGCCTGGGATTCGGCCTGGCCCGGCAAGGGGCCGTGGTCCGATTGCTGACGGGCTCCTACGCCGGCTTCCTCATCTTGCCATGCTTCGTCGCCTTACTAGCTTTGTCCTGGTGCTTGTCGGCAACGCACATGACTCGCTATGCCTGTTCCACGGGAGAACTCGCCGACCTCAGCCTCGTCAGCTCTATGCACTCTCTGACCTACGTCCCATGGCAGCTGGGCCTGTTTACTGTTTATGCTGTGAGTCTGCGAAGTGTCTTGACTCCAGCCCTCTGAGTTTTGTCCTGGTGCCAGGCAGTTCCGCTACGAGGTCACCACGGACGTTGCCTTCCAACAGCTGGCGATGGTGGCCTGGGTCCGGCCTTCCGCAACCCGTCTCATGTCTTTCGGCCAGCCGGAGCCGACGTCCGGCTCGGCCGATCCGCGCAAACTCCTCCCCATCCAGGAGAACCAGAGCTCAGCTGTGGAGGAGATCCAGCTGGTGGGCCGGCAGGTGCCGCGCGTGGCGACTGTGTGGGTCCGGGGCCTTCGTCCGTCTCGACCTGAGACCGAGTACCAGGTCCGCCCCTAAACCCTAAGCCCTAAACCCCTAAACCCCTAGACCCTATAAACCCTAAACCCTAAACCCTAAACCCAGTACTAGGTCCGCTTTTCGCCTGCCGAAACCATTCCGACCGTCCTGCGGCTCCGTGCCGGGAGCTTTACCAGGGCCGTCGCTTGGTCGGCGCTATTCGGGTCGGTCACTAGCATACCCGCAGGCACAGCGTTCTGTTTGCCTGGGTTGACTTGCAGACTTGAGGTCCTTTAGGTGCTTTCCCTTGGAGGTGAAGAGGCCCTGCAGTTGGAGGTCGGCTTGGCGGAGTTCACCGTGGGCCTTCCACGGGCGGCCTCAGCGCACAAACCCAATCCCAACTCGAGTGCTGAGCTTTGGACATCCTACGAACCCCACCGCGGTGCAACCGACACACTTTGCGCAGAGCTCTGTGCAAACAGCTTGCGTTGCTTCCACTCTTATGCGGCAGCTGCCGGCTGCTACCTGGTTCTGGGCGACCGCGAAAGTTGGGAGGTCAGCGACCTCGAGCCAGGCACGGAGCCGGAGCGACCCTCAGGCTACGACAAGCGCTTGCTTGGCCAGTTGGATGGCTGCAGGATGGGGGGCCTCTTCTTTTTTGCAACCATGCAGAGCTTAAGCTGCTTAAGGATGCTTTAGTTTGAAACCTCTTACAGACAGTTGGGCCGTTGCAGGCTCGACGGAAAGACGGACAAGGGCACGGTAGCAACTGCGCGCTGTGGACAGGTGAAGACGGAGGGAGGGCGGCTCAACTTCAGCGAGGTTCAACCAGACTGGGGCAACGGCGCAGCCACCCTCAGCTTCAACCTGAATGTCCAGATCGGTGGGCTGCACTTCGACTCCCACGTCACCCCGATCTCCTTGCGGCAGGGGCCTGCCCAAGTCACTGACGTGCTGGCTGTCCTTCTCGGCGTGAAGGGCAATGTCACGAGCGTCCTTAGCAGCCAGGGCAC